AATCCTTTTGGACCTAGACTTGGCGCTCCGGTACCACTTGCGTGCGGTAGCAGGCTAGGGTGGCTGGAGTCTTTGACAATTTTTAGGGCCTCCCTCTGACACCGCCTGGTATAGAGGTCCTGGATGGCAGGAAGCTTGGCCCCAGTAATGTACTGGGCCGTACGCACTACCCACTGTAGTGCCTTGCGGTCGGAGGCCGAGCAGTTGCCGTACCAGGTGGTGATGCAACCAGTCAGGATGCTCTCGATGGTGCAGCTGTAGAACTTTTTAAGGATCTGAGGACCCATGCCAAATATTTTCAGTCTCCTGAGGGGGAATAGGCTTTGTCGTGCCCTCTTCACGACTGTCTTGGTGTGTTTGGACCATGGTAGTTTGTTGGTGATGTGGACACCAAGGAACTTGAAGCTCTCAACCTGTTCCACTACAGCTCTGTCAATGAGAATAGGGGCTTGCTCAGTCCTCTTTTTTCCCCTGTAGTCCACAATCATCTCCTTTGTCTTGATCACGTTGAGGGAGAGGTTGTTATCCTGGCACCACACGGCCAGGTCTCTGACCTCCTCCCTATAGGCTGTCTCATCATTGTCAGTGATCAGGCCTACCACTGTTGTGTCATCGGCAAACTTACTGATGGTGTTGGAGTCATGCCTGGCCATGCAGTCATGGGTGAACAGGAAGTACAGGAGGGGACTGATCATGCACCCCTGAGGGGCCCCCGTGTTGAGGATCAGCGTGGCAGATGTGTTGTTACCTACCCTTACCACCTGGGGGCGGCCCATCAGGAAGTCCAGGATCCAGTTGCAGAGGGAGGTGTTAAGTGTCCTTAGCTTAGTGATGAGCTTTGAGGGCTCTATGGTGTTGAACACTGAGCTGTAGTCAATGGATAGCATTCTCATATAGGTGTTCCTCTTGTCCAGGTGGGAAAGGGCAGTGTGGTGTGCAATAGAGATTGCATCATCTGTGGATCTGTTGGGGCGGTATGCAAATTGGAGTGGGTCTAGGGTTTCTGAGATAATGGTGTTGATGTGAGCCATGACCAGCCTTTCAAAGCACTTCATGGCTACAGACGTGAGTGCTACAGATCGGTAGTCATTTAGGCAGGTTATCTTTGTGTTCTTGGGCACAGGGACTATGGTGGTCTGCTTGAAACATGTTGGGATTTCAGACTCAGTCAGGGTTGAAAATGTCAGTGAAGACACTTGCCAGTTGGTCAGCACATGCTCGGAGTACACGTCCTGGTAATCCGTCTGCCTTGTGAATGTTGACCTGCTTAAAAGTCTCACTCACATCGGCTACGGAGAGCGTGATCACATAGTCATCCGGAACAGCTGATACTCTCATGCATGCTTCAGTGTTGCTTGCCTCGAAGCGAGCGTAGAAGTGATTTAGCTTGTCTGGTAGGCTTGTGTTACTGGGCAGCTCGCGGTTGTGCTTCCCTTTGTAGTTTGTAATAGTTTGCAAGCCCTGCCACATCCGACAAGCATCGGAGCCGGTGTAGTACGATTCAATCTTAGTCCTGTATTGAGTCTTTACCTGTTTGATGGTTCGTCGGAGGGCATAGCGGGAGTTTTTATAAGCGTCCCCATCCACAGGGCACGAGTGGTCACTCAATGGTTTGATGAGCTTGAAAACCATATGTAGTCAACAGAGTTCAACCTGATTGAACACATACAGTGTCTTGCAAAAGTATTCATCCTCCTTGGCGTTTTTCCTAGTTTGTTACATTACAACCTGTAATTTAAATGGATTATTATTTGGATTTCATGTAATGGACACACACAAAATAGTCCAAATTGGTGAAGTGAAATGAAAAAAATAACTTGTTTCAAAGAATTCTAAAAAATAAATAACGGAAAAGTGATGCGTGCATATGTATTCACCCTCTTTGCTATGAAGCCCCTAAATCAGATCTGGTGCAACCAATTACCTTCAGAAGTCACATAATTAGTTAAATAAAGTCCAACTGTGTGCAATCTAAGTGTCACATGATCTGTCACATGATCTCAGTATATATATACACCTGTTCTGAAAGGCCCCAGAGTCTGCAACACCAATAAGCAAGGGGCACCAACAAGCAAGTGGCACTATGAAGACCAAAGACCTCTCCAAACAGGTCAGGGACAAAGTTGTGGAGAAGTACAGATCAGGGTTGGATCATAAAAAAAAAAACTGAAACTTTGAACATCCCACAGAGCACCATTGAATCCATTATTAAAAAATGGAAAGAATATGGAACCGCAATAAACCTGCCAAGAGAGGGCCGCCCACCAAAACTCACGGACCAGGCAAGGAGGGCATTAATCAGAGAGGCAACAAAGAGACCAAAGATAATCCTGAAGGAGCTGCAAAGCTCCACAGCGGAGATTGGAGTATCTGTCCACAGGACCACTTTAAGCTGTACACTCCACAGAGCTGGGCTTTACAGAAGAGTGGCCAGAAAAAAACCATTGCTTAAAGAAAAAAATAAGCAAACACGTTTGGTGTTCGCCAAAAGGCATGTGGGAGACTCCCCAAACATATGGTCAGATGAGACTAAAATTGAGCTTTTTGGCCATCAAGGAAAACATTATGTCTGGTGTAAACCCAACACCTCTCATCACCCCGAGAACACCATCCCCACAGTGAAGCATGGTGGTGGCAGCATCATGCTGTGGGGATGTTTGTCATTGGCACTGGGTAACTGGTCAGAATTGAAGGAATAATGGATGGCACTAAACACAGGGACATTCTTGAGGGAAACCTGTTTCAGTCTTCCAGAGATTTGAGACTGGGACGGAGATTCACCTTTCAGCAGGACAATGACCCTAAGCATACTGCTAAAGCAACCCTCGAGTTGTTTAAGGGGAAACATTTAAATGTCTTGGAATGGCCTAGTCAAAGCCCAGACTTCAATCCAATTGAGAATTGTGGTATGACTTAAAGATTGCTGTACACAAGCGGAACCCATCCAACTTGAAGGAGCTGGAGCAGTTTTGCCTTGAAGAATGGACAATAATCCCAGTGGCTAGATGTGCCAAGCTTATAGAGACATACCCCAAGAGACTTGCAGGTGTAATTGCTGCAAAAGGTGGCTGTACAAAGTATTGATTTTGGGGGGGTTGATTAGTTATGCACGCTCAAGTTTTCTTATTTCTTGTTTGTTTCACAATAAAAATATTTTGCATCTTCAAAGTGGTAGGCATGCTGTATAACTCAAATGATACAAACCCCCAAAATATCCATTTTAATTCCAGGTTGTAAGGCAACAAAATAGGAAAAATGCCAAGGGGGGTGAATACTTTCGCAAGCCACTGTATGGGAGATTCTGGAGTGGTGCCTGAGACAGCATTTTCCACCATCAACAAAACACCAAATTATGGAACATGTTGTGGAAGAATGGCGTTGCATTCCTCCAATAGAATGGCGTTGCATCCCTCCTGACATTTGTATAATCTATGCCAAGGTGCATTGAAGCTGTTCTGGCTCATTGTGGCCCAATGCCCTATTAAGACACTTTATGTTGGTGTTTCCTTTATTTTGGTAGGCCAGTGACTGGGACAAATTATGCCTGAATTCTCTCCTCCTGTAGCCTATTCATGTTGTTCATAGGCTAGTATGAGGACAATATTTGTTTCCATTTTTGTGATTTAATATGAAAGGTTTGTCTTTTGTATGGAAATGGATGTCACAGTCTGAACTTTTTGTGTCAGCAAACTATATGAATAAGTTATGTATATTTTGAACAGTGTGAAAAGTTTGGAGTGCCCTAAACTCCAAGGCATTTTTAACTCAAATGCTTCTAGTAAGTTGAACTCAAAGTCAATGAAAAGTCATTATTACTTCAAATGTTTATGTGGCACTGACTCAAAACTAAATGAGAAGTCACAACTCAATTTTTTAAATTTATGATAACAAATTAACTTTTTACCCAGCATGCTCTACTGCAGGTAGATTTTTTGGGGGAATTGTTTTTAATATCTGTGTTTTTGCATGTACATTAAAGTGATTGATTAATCTTATGCTACACAAAGATGAATAACATACATTTTTCTAAACTAATCCAATAATTTAGTTAGATTTTTTTTGCACCCGTTACTGAAATGGTTGTTCCAATTTAAATGGTTTAGGTAGTCTCCTCACACTGTTTCTAATCATGGCAGTCATTATCTATGCAGGTTGCGGGTGAATGAAAATTCCAGCTGTTGGATAGCTGAACTCTGGTTGACTTCCAATAGGAATGACATATCACTTTGCAAGCCAGCATAATGTGATTTGCAGGTATGGTTACAAAATTCTGGTTGGTTTTCCAGGTATCCTGGATGGAAGCTTCCTGGAAATCCTCCAACCAGGATTTTTAGAACATCTGGGAATTTTGTGACCCTACTTACAGTCCTGTTGTGGCCTGTAAACCATGAGTTTCAGGTCGCTTTATTAGGGTGAAGCTAGGCCTCAGCATAAGGCCTTAAGAGATATGCATTGTCATGGAGACTATAATTAGGCCACAGGACTGAAAATGAATGAATTCAACAACCATGTCTCTGTCACTAACAAATATAGTAATGGATGGTAACTCTACAATTCAGTCAAAGGCAAGCAAGGTACACTGGAAAATTATATTGGAGGTGTGGCTTAGTGGGGTCATTATAAAAAAATGTCAAGCTCATACAACTCAAATCTGGACCCCTACAGGGTCACAGTGACTCTATCAGTATTGACTACAAAATCACTTTAAGTAACTGTACTCAGATATATTAAGTGTAATGGGTTTCCTCAAAAGTTTTGAGTAATGACAGCACATTGGGTTTTACAGTGTAGTTAGAAAATATTTCTTTGCTGCAGAATTCCCAACGTGTGTCACGGTGTTAGACCAAAGCGTTCCAGAGTTCAGGAGAGTTCAGGAGAAATCTGCATGGTCTGCAACCGAAGCCACTCATTCCATGTAAAGGTAATATAATATCAACAACACAAGGGTTCTCTCTTTACCTGAACATTTCATTAAACTTTTGAAGAACAACACAAGTACCCCAAACCCGAATGTATCTAAAATACATTTTAATTTTGCTGAAATTCACAATTGTTACAATATTAATCTCTTGAATATTTTTCATCTTCATTCTCTTCTTTGTAATCTTCTTATAATCTTGAAACATACTGTACAATCATGTAATGTAAAGTGTTTTACATCAAGGCACAAGACAGCCGTTGTGAGGGAGCCTAGGGAAAGCTAATCTTTAATGTCGATCCCTGCGGGGCACAGTTGCCATAGGGACAGGGCGAATGGGTCACATGGTACAAATGTGCTCTAAGGAGCCAATAGATAATAGATAATAAATTATAATAAATAATAAATAAGCACTGCTGCTTTTTCCATTCATTTCAAATTAATTTCATGTATAAAAAAAAGGTATCGGGATTCAGCTGTCAATGTACATAACGGAGGTTGCTGTCATTTATTTAAATATTGTTTTCCTCCTCTGGTTTGCCAAAAGCAAAATGAAAGGTTCATAACATTATGGGGGGAATGAGAGGAGTCCTACAATCTGAAAGGGTTTCTTTGTGTAGACTGTGGATGAAGGGGGCCAGTGTTTATTTTCTGTTCGTTTTTTTTGTTTTCTCCCGGATATGTTCTGACGTCATCGCGTTAAGAAGGGTCAACATCTGAAAGGGAAGAGAGAGAGAAAGGGAGAGAACAGACAAGTCAACAACTTTAGAGCCCAGCGTCTCCTGTCAGTCACAAAACTTAAGTCCTCTGAGCAAACAATAAGAACAAGCAATTCTTTTTCATCAACACAGGAAATCAAATCAATATGTAAAATCTTCACTTAAAAAATTTATATATATATATATATATTTTTTTTATGCTCCCTCTCATTGAAGCCACGAAGTTCAAGGCCGACCGCGGTACTGCAGGCTGTTGTTTGCAGAAAACATGATCTCCCATTATAGTGAAGGGGAAGATGGCAGTCTTTGTGGTCAATCTTCATGTAAATAAATAACAATTTTGTAGACAATAATGGAACCAATAATTGCTTCTATTACACCAGATGTATGTCCTTGGACCTTTTTCATTATTTTTTTTTGCACACAGAAGTTATAAGGATAATGTACTATAGTAGCTAATGGCAGCCTGCAGTACCCCGGCCGGCCTTCAACTTGAGATACTCAATGAGAGGGGGCAGCACTGAGCTAGCCTGAAACGTCACTTCCTGGAGTAGCTCAAACTGTGCATGTTATCTCTACATAAATCAACCACATGAGACGCCATCTTAACCAGCTTCCTTGTCTTCAAATGTCTATTGAGTCTTCACATAGGAATGAATGGTGTCACCACGTGATCGATGGTTTTGTCCATTCATATATACAGTCATTGGTCATGTCAGGCATTTAACAAAAAGCTAGAGAATAGAAATAAGGCCTAGCCAAAAGAACAGAGACAGAAAGGACAGCGAGGAGGAGTATTCACCCTGAAGGTTGTTGGAATGCTCACATCTGTGTGTTTCTTCTCCTCCGGCCGAAAGCCTTGGAGCCTACGTTAGTGGGGACAAAGTTACTGTTGCCCATGCCCCCCGACCGGCTCAGGAAGTCTGCCAGGCGGTGAGTCACGCAGGTTGCCGTGTTGCAGGCTCGCTTCTGTGCTGTAATGCTGCTTCAGGAATGGAGACGGGGTTAATGGTGAGCCCTGCTGCGCACCTCGTACACATACAATACAAAGACGCATTTGTGTTCACACTCATGCCAGACACTCACAAACGTACACATAATTCAAGCACACACACAGAAACAAGTGCCCTATTACTCACTCTCACACACACACACACACACACACACACACACACACACACACACACACACACACACACATAAAAGTAGACAGAGGATTAATATAGTCTCTGGAAATGTTAGATCATTAGTACGGTTCAGTTGGTCATAATTCTTACCTTGAGACTTGGTGAGGGTTTTAGAGATAGTTCAAGGGTATTGGAACTGCTATTATAACTATGATTTATTCTATACTGCAATTCAAAAAATATTGAATGCAGTTGTTGGAAGAGTCAAAGCTAGATCCATAAAACAAATAAGTACTAATATTCTATTTCTTAAGAATAAAAAGTAAAAGTCTTCCCGGTAGAAAAATAGGTTTATTGAACAAGAAACATGGTGCCACATGAAGAAACCATTTATTATGGTTGAATATTACGTAGGTTATCTCTCATGATTTTGGGTTTTGAGGAATTTGAAATGCAATCAAATTATATGAATATACACTCTGAAAAAAATCGATACATTTTGATTCATTCTTTTGAATAATTGTAATTTAGATAAGTTCTCATTTTGATTGTCTGAACAGATACAACGTCATTCTCTGCCGAAAGGGGAAAGGAATTGTCAAAAGAAGATGCGTTGCAATGGGAGATTCGCTCTAAGGTCAGTCAAGCAGGCAAAATCCACATGCACTGAGATTGAAAACCAGGAGGACATTATAATGAAAAGGGAAAAGAGTGGGAACAGGAGGAGAGCGGAGGGTTAGATGCTGTCAAGTGTCTCCCCGTAGCTTGCATAGCGTTCACTCTCGGGCGCGCTGCGTTTCTTGCCAGGCGTGCCCGCGCCCACGTCTGTGCGGGGGAACGTTTGTAATTTGTGCAGGTCCTGGGACAGTTTGCCCAGCATGCAGGTGCTGAGGTTGGAGCAGCGCTTGGTTAGGGGTCTTTCAATGCTGTCAGAGGGGAGAGACAAACATGCAGAAAACAAGCTCATAGTAGTGGGACACATGCAGGTTTCTCTCTCCAACACACAGTCTCTCATGTTAGTACTGTATCATTCCCCCTTTCTTCATGCATGTCCCCTCAGACGTGCTGTCATAGGCAAGAAATTAAACATTTCCAAAATATCATGCTTCCCTTCCGATCACTTGAAAATATGTTATATCAACCCCCATGCTCCAACTTGTATCTTCACACCCACCCTCATATCACCCCAAATAGAACAGAACGGGTAGCTTCCCGCTGTCATGCAACTCTTTCCGCCTCCACTAATTGAGACCATGCACTTATCTGTCCGGTTGGGCATTCCCTGCTAATATAATATCCCCAGCAGGCAAACACACTGTTAACATTCATTCATCCATACAAATAAATGAATAAGTCAAACTTATCCATGTGGGAGGGTTACGACAGAGAATCTGTTGGGAGGGATTAGGATCTGGATCTCTCTCCTTGAGATGGAGTAAGTAGCCATTCCTCTGAGCACATACCTCCAAATGGCTTAAATCAAACGGCAGCAGGACACACTGCTAAGGTGGCTAGAAGACGTCTCTCCACAAAGGTAACAATACGAAAGTAGCTCTGAGACCATCAATATTGATTATCACGTTTAATTCATCATCAGTCCCTTAATTGGTAGCTAAGAGGCAAACTCAGGCTGTTAGAAATGCAGGAAGGAAGAAGAAGCAGTTGTCTGTACCTATTGCCTTCTTTCACGTGCTGCTCCAGCTCTTCAGCTGTCATCTGCACAAACTCCTTGACTATGGCGTTGAGTAACCTCCGTGCCTCGTAGTCCGTGAGCGTGACTTGGTCTGTCATGGACTCTATGCCCGGTCTAGAGGAGGAAGAAAGGGGGTGGGTGATGCACAGGGATCAGCATAAAAACTCAACTAGCGTTATCACCTGCAAAAAAAAAAAAGATCCTCAGAGTGTCACTAAGTCTAAAAGGTATGACGTGGGACTGGAATGGACCCTAGCCAACGTGGGAAATAGTCATCTGCTAAGAGTACTCCATCTAAAAGGGCCGATGTGTGACCTAGTTCAGATTTATGACGGGGAGTGGCTTGGATGTTTTTATATGTCTCATTTATCTCTTCTAAATTAAATTACTCTTGTTGTGGGGGTTTTTCTTTCTGCAAATGTCATTACAGTCCCCTTTACACTGTAAGGGATAGTTCACCCAAATTACTAAATGACACATTGTTTTTCTTACCCTGTAAGCAGTCTATCAACAAGGTATGACAGCAATCCATGCTTTGGTTTAGTTTCCCTGGCACTGTTTCCACATGATAACGTTTTAGCATTCGTGGTACAAATACCATTCAAGTCATGGTACCGATATTAGCATTTTCCAATTTGTAAGTCGCTCTGGATAAGAGCATTTGCTAAATGACTTAAATGTAAAATACCTTGTCCATAGGGTAAGGTAAACAATATGTCATTTGGGTGAACTATTCCTTTAACTGGAGTGCATTTCTGGGATATTGGATTAAGGAACATATTAACTTTTATGTATTTGTTACAGTTTTTAAATCAGCAATTTACAGACCAAAACATATGTATTATCTAACTTATCACAGAAAAATTATTTCCCCCAAAAATGTGCTTAAATAATACAGTTATATTTGGCAGCACTTCCTATCCATCTTTTCATGTCAGATTAAAACAAGTGTGTGTGTATGCTCGTATGATGTATGTGTGTGTGTATGATTTCTGTCTGAAAGTCCGTCTGGCTCACCTGGCGGGGGCCGCTTGTGAGCTGTACATCTGGCAAATGACCAGGGCATAAGCAACAAGGAAAGCAGAGATCTTCAACGTAACCATGGTCCCCTACAGCAAAGAGACAGTCCCATCAGTCAACCAATCACATTAACATTTACATTTAACAAGGGAGAAGCAGGTCGCCAACACAATAACGTTCAGCATAGTTTTACCAGAATGAGATTAAGCATTGTACGACTAATGTAACATAATAAAACTGTTAGTTAAAGGATTCCTTCATTAAGTTTGAAATGAGCTGCTAGATAATGGTTATTTTCTGTATTGACGGCAGACTCAGCTTTACCGCACTAGCTCATTTCCGTAGCACTGATCTCTCAAGCTGCACATCCATCCATCCTTCTATCGCCCCGTGATACCTTCCATCCAAACAGCCTCTACTCTTCTCCATGGAGCGAACTATCCCTCCAGAGTCTCACAATGTTGGTTACAGGACAGGACAGGACAGGACAGGTAGTTCTCTGAGGAGGAGCCCTTGGCGTGTCCAGGAATGACGGGGGTCCAAGCCTGTCGGTCGGTGCTAACTGAGGGGACGTAGCATTAGCTAGCGCTGTGAGGAGGGGATAGTGGTTCCAACCAGCGTGCCAACTCCCAGGGGAGGACCAGTACATTAGTGTAATGAGCTGCCACCACTTTCTCACACATAAGCACTCCATCTCTCCTCTCAGAGAGCCTCCATCTCTCTCTCTCTCTTTCTAGCCTACTCACTGTTTCTTTCTCTCTCTCTCTTTTTTCCTCTTACTTACTTTTTGGTCTCTCATTCACTCTTACTCACTTTTTTCTCTCTCTCTTTCTCTTTCTCTCCATCTTTCTTTCCCTCTTTTCTGTTATGCCTCCACCACAGAGCTGAAGGAGAGTTGTGACCCCTACGGCCACACAATCCCATTACCGTCACCATCACATCACACTGCACCAAAACGCAGGTCCACACTCTCCATATCCGACCGAGTGACAGAGGAGTCCTAAGACACAACCCATTAAGTCAACCTACCATCCAAATACACAGTCTCCACCATGTGGATCTGGTTAAAGGTCTCCACTTACCTTTTGTGTTAATCACCAGGCCCAAAAAAAGATACAGCTTTGTAGGAAACACCTAATTTGACTTCTCTCACTTTGAAGACCAACTCTTGGATCTGTAGCATGCGGTGCCAATGCACAAGCCTATATATCCAGCACTTGGATTTGTTCATTGACTGTGTAGGTGTTTAATTATCTCCCGTCGGCCAATCCCGTCGCTGAGATGCTCCTGCGAGCCAATCGGATGACACCCCTTACTTCTGGCACACTAATAAGGGATATGGCTTTGCAATGACGTCATTCTTTAGTTACTAAGTGGTCCATTCACAAAATCCACCAGTCATTTGGACCATTTGATATCCACATTTCCATTGAGGTCATTAATTAACCAGGAGCAAATCGAATTAATGGCCACGGCAACCATCCCTCGCAATAAATATTTTACAGGCTTCCAAAAATGTTACATGCATGCTATTTTTAAAATGGCAAATCGATAAGCCTCAGCAAAGTACTAGTAGGCAGGGCCATCTGCTGGGAATGAAGGTATACTGCAGTCCCATCCACTTCCAGGTTGGTGCTACTCAACGAAGAAACATAGGGATCAACTACCCCAGTCAATTCCACTGTCTCACGCTGAAACTCAAATACAAAGATTGTTCTACTCAAAAAAGTTTACAATTATCTGAGCAGTTAAATAAAATAGCATTTATTACCATCATGAATACATATGATCACTGCAACGACTTCAACTCGTGAGAATATCATTTTACATTATGATACAATTAAGATTTTAAAAATGTGGAATTTGATCATGGTTTTGAACTCTTCTAATGTAATCTCAGCTGAGTTAATGAGTATGAGTCAGTCTCAATGATCCACAGTAAGACAGGGTTTATAAAGGGTTTATAAAGGGTTCGTCATTACGTTATTAATCTACAAGTTACCTACTCCACATACCAAAAGACAACATTGGTATGAATTATGATAATATGGCTAATGCGTTATAATGATTATCCCTGCCCCAGTCCATGTACCTCTTCAATGGCCCCCACAGTGGATAAATGAAGTGGACTTCAATAGGGAATCATTGCAGAATCCCTGATGAAAATGACAGTTGTTTTTCAAAAGCAATTACAGAACTGTTTGTCAGGTGGCATCATCTAATTTCCCTTCCTTTTCATTAGTGGGCTAAGCATCATAAAGTGTGTGTTTGTGTGTGTGTGTTTGTGTGTGTAAGAGAAGGAGGGTGGGGGGGCTTTTCCCTGCATGCGTCACAGAGGTACCCCATTAGACAGGATGAGCCTTTTAGTGTTATTGAACAGTGAACGGCACCGATGTCCCAGGCGCTAAATCACAGCAAAATGGACTGCGCAGAGGTCCCAGCCCCTACAGCCAATGGAAGGAGTATGGTGTGTGCGCGTGTGTGAGAGAGAGAGAGAGAGAGAGAGAGAGAGAGAGAGAGAGAGAGAGAGAGAGAGAGAGAGAGAGAGAGAGAGAGAGAGAGAGAGAGAGAGAGAGAGAGAGAGAGAGAGAGAGAGAGAGGGAGAGAGAGGGAGAGAGAGAGAGGAGACTCCTAACCAGTTTCAGTCATGATCCATATAATGGACCAGACAGGCAGGTCTATAAAATATGAGTAACCACAGACCATATAAACAGGTACAACAGCAATCTCATTAAGGGTTAGAACAAATCAACTTACTTTTTTGGCTATATCTGGTTTAATGCATCAGCCTCTGAAATACATGTTTTAGTTGTAACTGATCCCTGACAATAAATGGACTAAAATAAAGTAAAATACAACTTGCCGAAAGGTACACTGGGTAATATGTCAATTAAACACGTGTTTAAGCCAAAACAGTATTTTACGTTGTAGGTCTCGGCAAACATAACTCTCTTGTGTGATCAACTCAGCTATTTGTGTTGCAAATACAAGCGACAATATTTCAGTTCATTGTTTTTTAACTCATATTGAGCAAAAAACATTGGGTTAGTGGAGTAATAATCAATGTCAGCTCAACAATTTCACAATTTGAAGTCCAGACAACATGGATATTTAAGTTACATTTTTTACAGTATTACTGTGTACTAATCGTACTACATACCTTTTTAGAACATACTGTTTAGTAAAAATGTATGCAGAAAGCAACAAATATCAATATCAGTATAAAACATTATATTTTTCGCTAACCAAACAGTCTACTATATAGAATGCAAATACTGGTATCCGGATACGGCCATTCTTTTAATAATAATAATATGCCATTTAGCAGACGCTTTTATCCAAAGCGACTTACAGTCATGCGTGCATACATTTTTTGTGTATGGGTGGTCCCGGGGATCGAACCCACTACCTTGGCGTTACAAGCGCCGTGCTCTACCAGCTGAGCTACAGAGGACCACTGTAGTTCAGTGCACATACTTTTTAGCAAGCACACATATTTTCTTCAGGAAATTGACCTTTTCTAGTTATTTACTTAAAACTTTGTACTGTTGTTCTATGCCATGGGATTAACATAAGTAAATACTACATCATCCAGTAATATAACATGCAACATCTATTAACATAGGAAATGACACATTTAACCTTTTAATCATGGACAAAGCTCGATGAGGATATAGACACAGTTGGACGTTACAAAGTACCCCAACGTACAGAGACCGTAACTCCTCATATCACAGATACACATCGTGATGGGGCCAAAGTGGGGTGATATAAATCGTTGATCTATGGATCTATCAGTGTCTCCATTCACTACTGGGTGCTCCGAGGTTCGGGGGCAGTACCCTGTCCATATAAATCACTTCCTCAAGGAAAAAGCAACAGCACTTAAGTCATTAGCAGACTCCAACCTTCTGTAATGGCTCTCAATCTCCGAATCTAATCAGTGCTGCACACCACCACCACCACCACAAAGGATGCTCTCCCTTGATTAAATTCAAGTTCAAGTGTGTGACCAAGCTCTTGTCTTTGGGGGCTCTCCCACTGGGGCTTTAAGGGAACATTTGAACACCTGCCGACTTCCATCACACTGGGATTACCCACAAGGCCCTAGGGAGCAGGCACGCACACACACACACACAACATCAATTCATTCATTCATTATGCGAGCGGGATGAGGGCTCAAACAAATGCCACGTTCAGATTTGGGGACAGGTCATTACTTAAAGGCCCATGGGAAGTGCCACTTGACTTGTAAGAGCAGCCGAGCACTTTCTGGATTTGCTGTTGTTCATCCTGGGAGCATTAGGGAAATTACATTTAATCGTTGAAACGTTGGGGCATCAATCAGTCGGTTATGGCGTATAGTGCGTAGGAGGCAGTGGCGGACTAACCATTAAGCAGAAGAGACAATTGCCTCAGGCCTCACATCATCAGAGGCCCCGTGAACTGGGCATTATAAAAAATAAAATATAAAAGTATAATAGTAATACAAAAACCCTCTATGAACAGGTAGAACCAAACAGCCTTATTAGCCTTTAAAATGTAATTATGTATGACAATACATTACATATATCATAAGGCCATTCTTTGAGGGCCTAGTTATACCCTAGCACAGTGGTGTTAGGAATCACCTGGTTTACAGGCCACATTATGCTGGCTTGCAAAGTGATGTGTAATTGCTATTGGAATCCAGCCAGATTTAGAATATCCAACAAGTGGAGTTGTTAATCACCCACCACCTCCATTCAGAATGATTACCAAGGTAGGGAAGATTAAGTACTCCGACTACCGCAATAATCTAAACTGGATCAAACATCTCAGTAACGGGTGCAATAAATCCAATTACTAACAGATTGGATTAGTTTAGAAAATGGTATGTTATTTATCTTTGTGAAGCATAAAATGTATCAACCAATCAATGTACATGCAAAAACACAGATATTACAGTAAAACAAACAATTCTGAAAATCTCCCTGCAATAGAGCATGCTGGGAAATATTATATATGGTTCTATGTAGAATCCTTCTTGCCTTTCAAAGAATCATCAAAGAACCCTTTCTTCCAAAAACAGTTCTCAGGATGTTAAAGGTTCTAGGTAGAACCCTTTGACTTACAAAGAACCCTTGTCTTCCAAAAAGGGTTACTCTGATCAAAACAGTTATTGGTAGAACCCTATCCCTCTGCGAAGAACACTTTTGGAACCCTTTTTTCTAAGAGTGTACGAAGCGAGTGAAGAGCAAAAATCCACTTGTTAAGCTACATAACATGCAAAAAATCATTAATATATGAGCAAACTAGAACACAGATGATGAGCACTCAACTCAACTTAGCTAACATATTGGCCTCTGTCTGGGGCCTCCAATTCTCTAAGTCCGCCCCTGGTGGGAGGAAGCTTTGGCTAGCCCTGACATCATCCTGTGCTGTCTGCATGCACAGCTCTGCTACCGTAGTAGGCTGCTTACTCCACTCTCATTCAAGAAAAAGAGGCCAGAGAGAAAAAGAGCCCCCGTCAGCAATCAATGTCTAGACCAGTGGTTGATGTGGACCGGTGCTGGGTTACCGGATCTTAGTACTGGAGTACCGGATCTCTGTGAGTATACAGTACCATGAGTCCCAGCTCCCTTTTCATTCCACGTCAAGCATTGATCTCTAGACAGTTGATAATGGTGTGGTTTGAAAGAACAGTTTCCAAAAGTTGCCTATTATATTGAATGAAGTTGTTACACAGTCCAAAACTCTTTAAGACATAAACCACAGAGACATTATAGCCAATCATTATCTCTGGTATGTTTACTGGCAAGGATTCCCTACTGCTTACTGAACACTCTTTGAAAAAAGGTGCTATCTAGAACCTAAAAGGGTACTGTCCCCATAGGAGAACCTTTTGAAGAACCATTTCCACATAGAGTTCTATATGGTTACCTGAAACCAAAAAG